CTGCATCTTTGAACAAGTGAGCCCTTTGCGGACTCTGCCGCGTTTTGGAAACAAGCTTCTTCGAAAAGGTAAACCCCCTGCAGCTTTTCTGAGGCCGGACCACCGCGCCGAATTTAGGAAACAAATAACCCTTCCGCCGGGGTTGGGCGGGTTGGGGGGATCATGCTAAAGAGGGTCTCACATGACATTAGCCCGTTCAACCTGGAAGCGTTTCTGATCAACTTGGAGCTTCTTGGCGTTTAAAGTTAACTAGCCAGGGTTCACGAGCCTTGTCTTTTGTGCACTTTGGGACCTGGTGCAAGCCTGATTTCCCTGGATGGCCCAACGAAGAAGGTCTGCCCAACCATCCCCCCCCCCCCCGAAAAAGAAGCAAAACAAAACACACACAAGCAAACACACACACACACAAAACAAAAACACTTCCGAAGCAGAAGAATGCAACCCTCAACCCCAGGCATAAAAAAAAAAGAGGAATCCGGGCCACTCAGCTCGCTCACCGACGCGCACCAAAAGCGCCAGGGGCGCGCAAAAGGTGGGCCGCACCCGGCGCAACCAAAAGCTGCGCCTGGCCGGAAGCCGAGATCGCGCGGTTTGCAGCGGGCCAACTTGACATTTGGACTGAGACCCAGATGCAATGGAAGGGTCTGAATTACTAACTGGTCACTGTGCGTTCTCCTGATTGTGACTTAACTTGGTTTTTAAGCTACCTCAACACTCCGTTCAAATTGTTTGCCCCCTTGTACTATTCGTCTTTTGGCCGTTCTACCAGTTATTTTGCTGTGTTCCCATTGTTGGAACCACCGTAATTGTAACCCATAGGTCCCGCGTTGGGAGACGATTGGAGAGGGCCTTGCGCACTTCCACACGTATGTCATAGCGTCCCCTCCAGGAAACTTGTTTTTCTTCTTTCGTTCATTCTTTCTTTCTTTCTTTCTTTCTTATTGTTGTTGTTGCCCGCGCGGGTGGGTCGGTTCCACAGAATCCAGGCGGAGATGAGTTGGTAAGGGCATTGTCTTCGAAGCAACGAAACCGCGTGTGGTTCCTACAATCTTATCACTCAGCTGACCTTTGAATGATCGAACCTTGTGGCTTTTTTTGTTTGCCCTTCTTCATCATGGCTCCAGAAGGTTGGCCGTTGAGTTTCAGGTTCTGCTTGGGCAGGTGAGGTTCGCATTAGCCTGCATAACACACATCTTTACCATGCTCTTCGTAGCTTTGCTTTGCTCTTGCTGCTGCATTTGGCTTCTTCTGTGCTACCAGTACTCGCAGGCCAAGTGTCCTGGATTGGCGCTGCTCCTTTGTTTTTCGGGAGGCCGAGGCACATGCTTTGGGGTACGCAGCGAGGAGGAGGAACTTTGTGCTGGGGCACGTAAAACACGCGGTATTTTGCGAGAAAACCTTGGCACGGGGGGATTGACTCCCAATTTGTGTACATTCTTACTCTACTGGCCATGTTGATTTTGGGGAATGCGCATAGGACTTTCTCCCAGAGTCCCGTGCTGGGCACGTCAAGGGTTTCGCCGTGTTGCTGAGCGCTAGGCCCGGAAGTGCCCGGATCCAGGCCATCGGTGTCGGAGCAATTCGCAGCGTGAGGGCCGAGGTTTTGGTGTGCGTGCGTGTCTAGATTCACGAGGGTTAACCACACTGGGGGCCCGGCTAGGGGGGGGGTGGTCAAAAGATAAACCCTGTCTGCGCAGTTTTTGTCCAGCAGCCGGGGCCTCACTGGAGCCAGAATTGGCCTGGAGGGCCTAAGGGTTCCAGACGCGTTCGGTTCCATCATGTGACCTTGCCCCGCTCGGGGCCAAAGTCCAAGGGGCCCAGCTTTTCCCATGGCCACAGGCCCAGGTTGCAGACCCCAAAGTCCATTTCGGCCGTTGCAGCCTGGCGCCGGGAAGGCCCTTGGGTCTGACTGCCCAGTCGGCATCCCGATCGTCTCTTCCCTTGTTCTGTCCCCATTTTTCATGTTCACTGGGAACCACACAGCCGCAAAGGGTGAAATGCTGATGTTTTGTGTCCATGTGCGATGGTGGAAGGACAATCATTTGGGCAAATCATAGTGATCCGAAGAAAGGGGCCGGCAACCTCTTCCACGATGCTTGTTCCTTCCTTGGGTCCGGTATGTCAGATCAAGGAATTCTCACATGGCTGTGGGTCAGCAATAGGCCCCAAATGAAGCCCTGGTAAATGGAACCAAGGACTGAACCCTGTTGACCCCTTGTGGTTTAATTTCGACCCATACCCATGCCTCATCCACATGTGTACCAAAAGGGGGGAACAGGATTCCCAGAAGTTCCCACTACCACCGGTTGTGTCCAGAGGTCTTTGGCTACGGCAAAGCTGGGGAACATGCTTAAAACACGACAAGCCAAGCACGGGGGCCCGTGTAGGTAGCCGATCATCGTAGGGGTATGTGTGTTGTAGTTCCCTTGGCCTGGCATACGTGTTCAAGCCACGTTGATCCATCCTGCTCCTTCAGTCGTTTGAGTGTTCGGCATGGCATTACACGTTCAGCATAATTAAAAGTACATCTCCGTTGCCGACATTGATTTGTCTAACTGTCGTTCCTGCACTTAGTGGCTTCTTCAATGTCAATGCACAACATGCCCTTTTCCAAGACGTTGTTTGCAGGTTTCTGTCATTTTTAGATTGGGGTATGGATCGGATGAGCCAGCCAGGACAATTGTCGGCTCATTCGGAGTTGATGTCCTCATTCCGTTTTCCTTGGCGACTCCTGAATTGAACTGTGATGGACCTTTTTCCCATTTGTGAAGGAATCAATAGGGCGACCAAAGCAGAGGAACCTTTCTCGAAACTTGCTCCGTGGCAACTGTTTGCGAGTTGCTCAATGGATTCCACTCTTCAAGCTGTTTTGGGTTTGGTGGGTTTTTAGCCGTACAGCTTCCAAGCAGCATAAGGAAGGGCTCCCTTGTGTGACCGGCTGGGCGCGAGGCAAGGGCTGCTGCAACCCTCGCTGCGAGAACTGCTCCGGCAAGAAGAGCGAGACCTGAGGCGTGCTGGATCACCCTTCAAACCCCATTTGGCGCATTTGGTGGGTTCCCCACTGCTGATGAAACCCCAAAGAACGGTTACCTTCTACCAGGGTCACTCGACAACTGGGAGCTGGCTGCTTAGTGGCTTCCGCTTGTTTCAAACTGTGGCCGACCGTTTGACCCTGCGGTGCACATGTTCCAACCATTTGGGCCGGATTTTTGGAGGGTAGCCCTTTTTCGTTGTTTTGAACATCAGGTTCAATTGGAAAACATTTGAGTCACAATCAAAACCCAGGTAGATCAGGTAGATGAAGGTTAGTAAGGGACGATCCCAACAAGAAATGGCTGCGGCCGCCTTCTAAATTCTTTACATGGTTCTGGGTCGACCATTTTAATACCGGGTTTTGATTATGACTCGTTTGAAGCCACCCAAAACAGGCTTTGGACAAGCACGTTTCAGGAGCTTGGGCCGCGCCGCCGAAAGGACAGCTGGAGTGAGGTCCCGAATGCACGCGGACTGGGGAGACATCTTGCAGATCGGCAGGTCAGCAGCTCTTGAAATTGCTCAATTGCCAGAGAGACTTCCCTTCCGTTTCCAAGGCTTTGCAACTTTGAGGGTGAGCCTGTTCTACCCGCAAACGCAGTGCATCGAAAATGATCGCCTGGTCCAACCAAAATTCGTTGCTAAAGTTCACTTAGCTAGCGCTGGTCGGAAGCCCGGGAAGCTGCAAAGGCCAGCTGAGGTGCAGAGGGGCCTGTGATGGGCCGCCATGATAAGCTATATAGTTACCAAAAAAAAGAGAAGGTGTAGCACATCTTTGCTGGATTGTAGAAGGACACTTACTCTCACCGAGGGACACGGAAGACATGCAGGAAGGCTTTCCGAGAGCTGTTTGGCACCTGTCTTTGCATCCAGCTGGCTCCACCGACTACCGACTACCAGACCGGGGCTGCAACAGGCCACGGCCGCGCGGATTGCGCGCAACAGAAGAGCACGACATTCAGGTCGGGGTGGGTCCAGACTTGACCACCAGGCCAAACATATCGACCGAAGGGGAGGGGAGCTCAGCCATGATGAAGGTTGCTTACTTCTTGTCTCTTGGTTTTGATTTGTCGGTGGGTGAGTTATATTTCACCTTAGGTTTTGCGATCCAAGATTATCCACTTTCCTGTTCAACCGCCTGTTCTTTGGCTCCACGTTGTTCTTCTTGTTGAGTTGTCGCCATGTCTTTTGGGGCACCATTCCCACAGAAACTGCCCGTCAGCCCCGCCCATGTCGCAGCATCCTTTTCGGATGCATATTGGACGCTTTCTGCCACAATCGTCGCAAGCAGAAGGCATAAGCTAGTGTATAGCCGTAAAGAAAACTATATATATATAGAATAGACACACATACAATCTACACGTAGATAATACACATATATATATATATATATATGTATACGTACTCGATCCCTCACCAATGCTTACACACATATACATACATATATATATATACATATGTATATAGAAAGTATCTACCCCTGATAGAAGCATAATATAACCATTCCACAAACACATACCTGACAATGGTGTTTGCCATGGGCATAGACATGGCAGAGACATGGTTCCAAATGGTGGACTAGGTTTGGAGCAGTTGAGCCAGAACAACTCAACACCTAGGGCGCGCTTGAATCCACATTCAACAAGAAAGGCACATGGGACATGGGACGGAAAGCTACTTCTCAAGAAGCCCAACATGACACCCCAAGAAGATGTTGCAACAAACATGGATCTGTTGGGGGTGGCCGGGTTGAAAGAGAGCAGACCGGTCTGGAGGCTCGGAATCTGCCTTTTAAGTCCTCCATTCGGCTCGAGCGCCTGCCGCCAAAGAACAGCCGCGAGCACGGACTCATGAAGTCTTCCTTCCCGACTGTATCGTTTGAGCAGCATGGTGCCCCCCCAACCCCACACGGTCCTTGACTCTGGTGTCATTTTCTGTTTCGGTACTTGGGGTGACAGCTAGCGAAGATGGCGGGCGGAGCAAGGGCGGATGCGGATCCAGAGGCATGGTCAACTTGAGTGCATGCTTCTTGTGCACGATCCTGCACAGGTCATGGGCATGCCACATAGAATGAGTCAGTGATTTGCCGCGAGGCCGATTTCTTTACCTCTGATTCTCAGTGGTTGTCCATGATGAGCCCTGGCAAACGCAACGGGGAAGATTTGGACGATTTCTAGTTCGGGCCGCGAAAGATTGACCATCAATTTCCCGGGATATCCATGAAGCCTTCGCCGCCAGATAGAGCCATCCTGTGTTCACTTGGCTTCCATTCTGTTGGGACAGTTCAAGAATGGCATGAGCCACAACCGAAACCAGGCTAGATAAAGCTTGGTAGGGAAAGATAAATAATGTGTTTTGCACCCTTTGCTGGAAAAGGCAAACTATGTCACATGAGGTTGGGTCAACATGCTGCATAGCGGCCGTAGCGGTGTACGTCTGGCTGGGCATGAAGGGCACTCTCAATGTCCCACAGTAATCCGGGGACTTTCTAATATCCCCGTGCCCATTGCAAGTGACAGCATGTGTTGGACGTCTCTCGCATGTTTTCGGAGCACCACAAAAGTGACGAAGCTTGCGCTTTCATGAGACTTTGAGCCGACTTTGCCACCGGCGATTCACCAATAGATGCGCATGTGGCACACATTCAGACATTCAGATTTGTCTATGTTTATCGAGCCAGGCAAATGCATGGGGATACAGGTATTCCATATTATTGCATACTTAATTTGTTGGATTACATTCATTCTTTCACATATATCATGCCATGCAGCTCTTTCGTTCCCCTCGCCTTCGTGGCCAACCCGCCCGCGATCAGGCGGAAGCGCTCAAGGCAAAGGGCAACGAGAAGCTGAAGGTGTGCCCGGCCCGGGAGGATGCCAGAGCTGGTATGGCTGCTGGCTGTTTGGACCATGTCATTTTACTGATTCCGACCTTTGAATCCTGCCTTGCCCTTTCTGCTTTGCGCTTATTCACGGCTTCAAAAGGTCAACCTTTGATGTTCAGGTCCCTTGGGCAAGTGAGATGTGGGGAAATGCCTTGAACACTTTTACACCCCTCTAATTGAATAGAGGCGAGCAACTCGCCGGCCAAAAGCAACGGCGTGCCGTCGGTTTCCTACCGTCCATTCAATTCGCTGTCATGTTCCCAGGGCTCACATCCCCTGTGATCCCGGCCGCATTCTCAAGTGTCATGGGTCCACGGGCCAGGGGTCTATAGTTTTCCCAGTCGAATCAGCTGCTTTGCTGGTTATTGGCGAGGCCCTCTGTCCCCGAGATTGCCAGGCTGGTGACGTCAAAGGGGCCTTGGCCATGTACCAACAAGCCCTGACGCGTCTTCCGGAGAAGGCAGCGGGTGGAGAGTTGGGGCTTGGACTTCATGGTGGATTTGGATGTGCCTTGTTTTGGTGAACCCCTTTGTCGGACAATGGAAACAGGATCCCCCCAAACATTGAATGCGAGGAAACAAGGAGACCTAGTTGTGACCCACACATTGAACATTTGCCCTTATTTACGCGAGCGCAGCTGAGGGTCTAGAGGAGCTTTGTCCATGCTGAAGGGACTGAGCGAGTGCTTGCCATGGTGTGATAAGCATCATCGCGGAAGCTTTGTGTCCTTCTTCTTTTGTTTGTTTGATTTGTTTGAAGTTTAGTTGAGCAAAGCGCTGATTGCCCATTCTTTTCAGCCAGCCATTTCCCCAGGATTTTTGGTGGTTTTCTAGAAAGAAGGATCCCTGGAAAGAATGGGGAAGTTACCCCTAGACCTCCCCCAATTTTCCGCCGCACACCGGTTAGTCCACAGCTGTTTCGAACGCTCGGGATTTTGTTGTGACCCTTACAACTCATTCTATACTACTGTTACTGTGTATATACCTTAGAAATCGAAATGTACATCTCTCGCCATTTCTGAACAAATCCATTCGTTGAAAGCGGCAATTGAACTCCTCCCAAACAAACTGCTTGTGGCAAGGGGTCAAAGACCCGCGCATGGCAGCTTTCCGTTAGCACTGTGCCTCAGAATCAGGAAGCGCTGAAAATGATAGGTTTCATGTTGGGCACTTTGCTTCGCTCTTAGAGCTTCTGAGCGCATCTCTCGGGGGTGTCCTCATATTCCCCCGTCTGGATGCTGTTGAACAGGAACCCAGCCCAGAGATGCCCAGAGGAAACCTAGACGTTTGAGACCTTTTCCGAGGAACACGCACCCGACGTGTCCTTTGCGTTTCTCGCAAAGAGTCCTTTGAGTGTGCTCTCCTCGCACCGCCGCTCGTTCCCAGCTGCCTAGCCGCAGATGATGATCATGACATGCCTTTAGCATGATCAAAAAGTGGCAGCCAGCAAGGGCAGACTGGATTCAGAGAAGCGCCAACCCACAAGCCTCATATATTAGACAGGGCGCGGATTTTAGGCTTCAGTTTTGGACAAAACACACACACGCACACACCAGCAAAGATCATCAGCCCACACCGCAATCACCCTGCCTGATTGGCGATTGTGACTTTCGTTCTGCGACATTGGACGCACCTACATCTAGACTTGCCTGCCAGAGGCTTAGACAACTGCGGGCCTTTTTTGTGCTGGCCATTGTGGTGAAATTTTGCCGTGCAACAAGTAACAAGGGCCGGATTTGGCAAGGCTGCCTGATGAGACTGTTAGCCAGAATTTCCTTTTGAGACTACGCTTGCTTGACTTTCGACATGCTAACTCGGCCGGGCAAGCCGCAGGTGACCAGTGATACGAAGGGTGTCCCCTTAACAAATCCTCCAGCACAGCAGGGTTGTTTGTTTTCAGAGGAAGCGGTTTGGCAAAGTTTGGACTTTGCCAGTTTGCAGAATGTGCGTGGTCATCTACAAAATACTGCCTAGCCAAAGTACGGTGCCTTTACGTTCTTTTGGTACGCCATTAGTCTGTAAATTTGAGCAGTAAATTCACGAGCTCCGCCGTTGGCAACTGGGGATCCAAAGCCAGGAATGCAGCTTCATGGGTGAATTCGGCCACCCCGCCTGGCGAGCGTGCTAATGTTTTGGCGCCCTCTCCACGTCCAGCAGTATCTTGCAAAGGCCCAAGCACGAAATGGGCACAAGGCTACGCAGCTATGCTTACGTTGCAAGAGGTGTGCATTTCCACGGTTTGATGGCAGTGAGGCCATCATCTTGCAGCTTGTTTGTAACTTGCTCTTGAACACCTTTCAGGATTTGCTTCAGGGTTCGTCTCCGAGTCGTGTGGGATGTGCTCTTGCTATCTCTTGCTGCGCCTCTCGAGAAAACTATCATGTCACCCAACCAATCGTCATATTTTGCTAATTGTGTGCTGCTGAAGCAACGAAGCTTGCAACTCCTGCAGTCCCTCAAAGTCGCCTGGCAGCTGCACACCAACTTCCATTTGCTTAAGCATGATCAATTTCTCTCTGGTCGTTTTAGGAGGCAAGGGTCATGACTTGTCGTTGCTCCGGAGCACCTTAGGGGTTCCACCCTTGCGGCCCCCAAGCAACCGCCGGACAAGCATTCAGCCCAGCAACAGCATCGCAACTGTTTCACGCGCGAAAACGCAGGCAAACTGGCCCCGTAAGGGGTGGTCCCGTGTTCATGTTCTTGCATGTTGGCTCACTTCCATGCATCCCACACACAGGTCTGGATAATTCCTGCTATGGAAGGGTCCAGCAGTAAAAACAATTTGCGCATTGTCACGGCTATATGAAGGGTAGGCGGCTTGGCGATTGTAAATGGTGCCAACACACAGTGCAGGGCAGTGCGTGCGAACTGCCAAAGGCAGCTGCCAAATTCTCTAACTGCCATAGGGGCAGTTAAATGGCAGTCACAGGATTGCCGAAGGACATATCAGCGTTTCAGATTCAGGCCCCATTCTGCAGCTACTCTCGATGGGACACGGGCCCCCTGTTGCTCGGATTGGCTTGGCTTCCGATTTCTGTGGGGGCACTAAGTTTCCTTGGTTTTGGTGGGCTTGAACATCACTTCGGGGGGGAACAAGCCAGACCTTTTCGTTATGCAGCCAACACCACAAGCCGACGAGGATTATCGGCGCACAGTCTGCCTTCGGAATTTGAATCAAACATACAGGAACTATCCTTGAATTGTTTGGTGTTGTATCAAACGGCCAGGCCTTTCCGCAAAGAGAAGTAAGCCAAACCGGTAACAAACTGATCGTCAACCTAATTATAAGCGCGTGATTCGCAAAACCTTGCCAGCAAACCTGCGGCCCAACTCTTTGCAGTAGTGAAAAGTCTTGATACATGCCAACGCAGATGACGCACTATAGGAAATTCCAGGAACACCGCGGCAAGAATACGGGGGACTGCGAAAAAAACAAAGAAAGCTACGGGCAGTTCGCTGACGTGTCACCGCTGATTTTGTTTTGCAAACCGATCAGGAGGAAAGCCGAAGAAGCCACAGATTTTCCGGTCCCAGTGAACTGTTTTTGGGGCGTAATCTCTCGGAGGGAAAACTTCGGGCCGAGGTACGAGTTCCTTAAGTGTTTTTAACATGTTTGCTCCTGTCAGCGCTTTGCGGCCGAGGCAATGGTGGCAGAAGGCCTGGCGACTGGAGCGGATGTGTCGAGTTGCCAGTCGAGAACTAGCAGGAACTGGCGCGAACTGGCGGATCCGGATGGGGTGGGTCCCTTCAATCTATACTTTGTGAAATGAAATCTTTGAGCAGTAGTTAGGGTGCAGTGGACGGCCCTGAGGTTGGAAGGCAGGCATTTGGTTTCACTGTCATCATGGCTCGCCTGAAAGCTGTCCTAGAACCATACACCCACGCTGTTGATCAACTTCATGTGGCTTCGGGTCAGTGGACCCTTTGTTTCTATAAAACACCCCTGCGAGCAGGCAGCAAGCGAGGCAGTTGAATTATTATCGGGAGGATCTTCCACAGGAGCAAACACCAGCAACACATCCACGGCCTCAATCGCAGGCGATGCGGTGCTCCAGCAGATCCTCAGAAGGAGGCGCGGGATGGTGACGGATAGATTCGGATAGGTGACAGGCAGCCTTTGGGTCCGCCCCCTCTCAAGTTGAGGGGGCAAAACTCCGGCTCGCAACGTGAGGTCGTGAAGGTGGCTCAGGGCCACAGGTTTGATCCGAATTTGGTGAACGCACGGGGCTCCGGCGAGGCTCTTGTGCTCCGAAGGGGCGGAGAATGACCACTGCGCAGCACTCAGGGGATGTTGGCACATCCGCGAGTCTCAGTCACAAAAATCAGGAGCCGAACGAAAGGATCGATTTGGACGTTGCGAGATTCCGTTTCGAAATGAAATTCGTGTCGCTTTGGGAGAGGTGTGCATCCAAGCAAAACAGTTTCAGACCACGGCTGGGGGTTTGCTGGTTTTCGGTTGGTTGAGCTGAACTCAAGGGCATACCAGCAAACCAACACCTGGAGATTCCAAATGGAGACCTCGTGCTCAAGTTCACCGCCGAGTCTCGCATGGCATTGCAGTTCAGGGTGGGGTTTGTTGATTGCTTGATGCCTCTTTGTCGCCCCGCTCTTTGGCACAACTTCGTGAGTCAAAGAACCATTCGGACAAGCAAGAGACTTTCTTCAAGCTAACGCATGCTAACGCCAAATAGAGAGCTGACGCAGATGCTCAAACATATTGGGCTGTGGAATGTGGAGGGAGTGCCCTACTCTTACAAACCCCATGGTAGATGGCGTACACAACGAAAAACGAAATCATATTATCCGTTTTGCTGGTCCCTTCCCATGTAACCGGAGAGACTAGGGCCCCCCTAGAAAGATTCTCAGAGGGCCCTCCGAACCTTCCTTGTAGGGCCAACTTTGCTTCTTTCCCTTACTTTATCAGCTAAACTTGTCGCGATTCTCATTGCGCTCACTTTTTTGCGGAAGCTCGTGCAGAATGATTTTCGCTGGCAAGCCCAGTCTTGACACGTGTTCAATTGGGCCTACAGAAACACCACCGACTTGTCCAGGACCAAGCCTTTCACCTTTCAAGCATTTTTCAGCATATCTTTGTCTTTGTTTCGTGGCAGCTAGGACCAGAATAAGAGCATGAACTGTTGAAGCCCAGAGGCTAGACAGGAGATCTGCCTGGCCCAATCAATTCTAGCAGCACTTGAGTCAGCCGTCAAAGTTCGGTGGATGCCCAAAAGGCAACTAGGAAGCCAAGAAAGCCGACTTTGCCGTGGATCCCGATGATTTAGGAAACCAACCGTAGCTGCGGCCACCGCCGCCTGAGGTTATACCAAGGAGCCTGCGCAAGGCAGTGCTGATGCCGTCTGCCAGCCATTGGTCAGCCACGAGGAGAGGGGCACGCGACGGTGCCCGCCCGCAACAGCCTCCCCCCCTCCGGTGTACTGTAAGGCCTTCTCACAAGGGACGA